ATACTGGTAAAATATGTTTATGTATTTATTTATAAGAATATAAATGATATTAAAATTTTATCTAATTTTAGGATGCTGAGATATAAGCCAGATAATCACCTATTAATAAATCAAGTAGTGATAAATTAAATACAATTATTATGACAGCTAATATGGCAGAAAATAATCAAATAAATAAATATGAATCAAATCTTCAACAATTGATATTTCTTCTAATATAAATAATACATTTAGAGAAATATCTTAAATTTTTCGATTTAATCAGATAAATTATCAAATGAATAATAATGAATATGATACTATTAAAAGTTTTACAATTATGAAATATAATAAGGATGATATATTAAATATCTTAGATGGATTATAAAGATATTACAAATTAACTAAACTCAATTGTTCTTATGCTAGTATAAATAGCTTACCAACTTTACCTAACTCCTTATTGGAACTTAATTGCTTTAATACTCTAATAACTATCTTACTAACTTTATCCAGCTCCTTAATAGAACTCTGGTGTTCTGAAACTAAAATAAATAGCTTACTAACTTTATCTAACTCCTTATTGAAACTCTAGTATTATAGGACTAAAATAAATAGCTTATCAATTTTACCCAACTTCTTAATGAAACTTTGTTACACTTATACTCTAATAACTATCCTACTAATTTTACCCAACTTCTTAACTATACTCTGGTATTCTAAAACTAGAATAATTAGTTTACCAAATTTACAATACTCCTTAACAAAACTTTATTGTAATGATACTTCAATAAATATTTTACTAACTTTACCCAACTCCTTAATGATACTCTGGTATTCTAAAACTAAAATAAATAGCTTACCAACTTTACTCAACTCCTTAACAGAACTTTATTGTGATGATACTCCAATAACTATCTTACAATCTTTACCCAATTCCTTATCTACACTCTAGTATTATAAAACTAATATAACTAGTTTACTAAATTTACCTATTAACTTAAAGAGTATCAAACCTAAATCTTTAGAAAACTTAACGTTTAATAACTACTGTACTATTTCTTAACCTTTAACCTTCTACATAAGTACCTTAATTTTAAAGATTCTTTGTGAAGTAAATATATTATAAGTTTTCACATAATTTTACATTAGATTATTTATCCTAAATTTCGGGGCAAAGTTATGGCATAATTGTAAAGAAAATTTTTATATTACTTTAATAAATTTAGCAAGAAAATAACATTCTAATATAATATTGCAGATAAATAACAAAATTTTATTCTTTTCTCTTCATTTTAAAAAATATTAACTTGAAAAATATGATTCAACATTAAATGTTTAAATCAATAAATATTTTTATCAAAACTCTACTCTATTTTCGAATACAATAATACTTAAATTATAAATTATCATAATGGAACTACAATGAAATTATGAAATTCTGTATCTGTATTTTTGAAAAGAATCGAATAATACGAAAAGTAATATTACGTTAACATTTCTGTTATTTTAAAATGTCTTTTTCAAATTTATAATCAATTTCTATATTGCCTAATAAAGGCCAAATGAGAACAAATTACTTGTTTGAAGGAATATTTAAATAAATCCCAATTATTGCAGAATTACTATGTCTTAAATATTGAGATGAGAAAGATAATATATTTATAAATATTCTAATTGCCGAAATAAATTTATTTTGATTTTTAATAATTGAGATCGTTTCTTAGAATTTTGGGATCTTATGAATATTTTTACTTTGTTTGAATTTTGAATTTATCCTTTTAATTTTTATAACAATAAATGAGATTGAAGCGTGCGAAGATATGCATATTAATTATCAAACTATAAAAAAGCTTAATCTTATTATTCACCACTCTATGATTCCAAAATATCTCATCAAACAAGAGATTCTCCTACAATTTATGATTTTGCTAATTTTTATTCTATTTTAAACTTGAATAAATATCATATTTTTTCCCTTAAATGAAAAACTACAGTAAATTAGAATGAGAGTTAATTCAATTCCAAAAAAATTATCCTCCAAAGAATACTTTGGATCTTATTGGTTTAGAATTATGAAGACCCTAAAAGACGAAAATAAATTATACATGTCGTAAAATTTGCATATAGGGGTGGTCAGTAGAAAAGGGGGAAATCCACTTTTTAGTCAAAATTTTTTTTATTGGTTCACTCTGCTGATCATGGTCATGTGAACAAAACTAACTTAATAACTAAAATTACTCAAAATTTGTAGATTTACCACTTTTCTATTGACCGCCTCCCATATATCATACAAAAAAATAAATCATTTAGAAACATGAATTTTATTTTACAAATGATTACATTATATATTTTAGACATGTCTTATAAAGGAACAACAATATAGAAGGATTTGCACGCATTTTATGGGACAAATGTGCCTTATGGCACTGAATTAAAAGTTATCCTTATTTGGATTTTTATAACTTAACCTTTGCATTGTATTATTTTATTTAGTATACAGTATATATTTGTTCTTAATGCTCAGAATTTCGATAAGATATTACCTCGAGTCGCAAGATTGACACTTGAAACATTTGAATTTCGAATAAAGCAAAGCATTTGCAATTTCACTAAATTAATTAAAATTACTAACAAAAGAAAAGTATAAAAAAAATAAAAAGAAAACGGAATGAATTATGAAATAAAAATCAATGGTGAGATGTGAACTCTGTCAATTATAAACAATTTGACCAGGCGACATTTTGGCGGATGACAAGTAACAATGACCTTATTTAAGTTACTTATAATTATTTGCATTTCTTATATGGATATTTAAAAATAAAAAATATAAAGGTTTTATATGATCATTGGATTAGATATTTTGCAATGGCTCAATTATTGAGCGAGCGGACTTTTGGACACTTTGCATAGTTCTTCACTTTGTTTCCGGATTAATAAAATGCCGCCTGTTATATGGCGTAAGAGTCTCTTGGTACTTGTAGTAGGTACCTATTAGTTCAGTGAAGGTTTATAGTGTCATTTTTTAGGTGAGAATTCTATTTGGATTTATTGTAGTAGATTGATAAGAGACTGTCAAATCGTTCTACGACATTTGAGTCTAAATGGGATGGATTATTAAATTCTTTGTATAGATTTCCATAACAATTATTTTACTAATGATCTTTGATTCAATGGGTGAATCGATGTGAGGCGGAATTCGATATTATTGGCAATATAATTTTAGTTGATTTCTGTCTCAATATCGAATAAACTGCAATCCGTGACTAAAGCTCTATCTGAGATTAATCGGGGTTAAATTCCTAATCCCATATGTATACACCGATGGATTTTTTTGTCATTTACTCATAGGATGATATATTTAAATAATGGATTCTGCTTTGTAATTTCTCAATTTAACCTCTTATATCAAACTTAAGTTCTTCATAAGTATTACAGGATAATAGGTTTTAACATATTGGCATCTATATTAATCTTTTGTCTGTATTCTCGAAGTTGATAAAGTTTTTTTATTACTTCATCTTTAAGAAATGTAATAATTACAAAGTTATTGATAAAAAAAGAAGGGAAAGTAAAAAAAAGGAAAAAAAGAAAAGTTTAAAATGTATGTAGACAAAAAAAATCTATCGGTGTATACGTCATAAATACTTCGTTACGGATTAACTTAGGTTATTCAGAGTTAATATGATAATCCTAGTTATCCTTCACTACGTATGGAATAACAAGTATACATACTCAATTAATTTATATCTCTAGCAGGAAATTCACATCCAGTTTTAAGAAAAATTTCTCACAAATAAATAAAATTTCCGGTGATCCTAATAAAATCAACAGCCTCTCTACCGGTAGCAAATTTACACGAACAAGGGTTTAAACAAAAAAAGCATATATGATACGTAACAATTTCATTTGGACGACTTCAAGCTGGATCCAGCTCGAATGATCGTAATCGACAACGAAGTACAATCATTCTTGATCGTTGCTTAAGATATCTTGACAGAATATATAGAAGTCCTGATTTGATAAGAAATTCTTAAAATATATCCATTACACCATTCTTGTTTGTTTCTTTAAAATAACTTTTTTTTAAACTTTACTGCGGCCACGACACGTGTCAAATAATGATAATTGAGATTTGATTTTTTGTTTTATTTGTTGCATAGCGGATAAGGGACTTTTAAAAACGACAACGGTATAGGAATTCGAATTTTCCCCATGAAAATTAAATAAATCTGCCTACATCACGGACGCAAAATTCTGATCTAATTATTATTCACACCATTACAGTGATTTTGACTATCTATGTCTGAAATTTTAAATTAATGTAATTTCTATTATGATTAATAATCATGGAAGCTTTTTAGATAAATTTTTTGAAAAACCCGCTCCTCTGAACCTTTGATAAATTTTTATAAAAACGTCACCTCTGAAGTTTATAGATTATTTTTTTTAAAAAAAATATAAAATAATCAGCTTTGAAGTTTCTTTTGATAATTTTTTTAAAAAAATCTCTTCTGAAACAAAGCCATAGAACAATTTATGCGTCTTTAAAATTAAAAGTGTTTTTATACGTAAAAATATATATTTTTATTTTCTTTTTTTATAAAAAATAAAAATATACAAAATATTTATCTTTCAACATCTCAGAAAACATTGAGAACATACATACCAAGAATTTCTTTAACTTGATGACCGTTTCTTTTTTTCATTTACTTTTATGGCTTATGTACAACATTATTTTACGTTTAATTTCATTATTCTATACTATAGGACAATGTTCAAGACTACATTATGGGTCAGACCGATTTTTTTTTTATTTTTTACTTCTTTTATAAATGAAAATAAAAAATTATTTACTCGTTTTATGTATAATTGTCTAATGGATTTAATTATTATTATTTTTTTTTTTTTTTTTTGAATAAACAAAAATTAACGATCCGCCCGCTTTTTTTTAATTTATAACTAGTATCTATATTTATAAACCTTATGCTCAGATAACAATGAAATGTTTTTCAACTATGTTAGATTCGACTTGTATGAAATGTTGTTTCTGGCTTTTCCATAAAGAAAAATGTAAATGAAAATATCATCATTTTGAAGTGAATAGTGCAGTGTACTCCCCTTTTTTTTCCAGTTAATATCAATTGATTACTACGAGTTTTAACTTGTACATTTTGCAATCGGACATCTTCCCAAAAGCTTTTAACATCGTTGGAATTGATGTGTGCATCAAATTTGTCAAGTATGTAAAGAACTTTTGAGGCTTGTTCACCACCCTCAGTTACAATAATATTCAAAGCTTCGAATAAAATCTTTTCTGCCTGTTGTTTTTCTGAAAACGGAAAATTAATTTTCCTAAAAACCTTTGTATGACCATACTCTTTTGCTAAAATTACTTCCAATAATTCCGCATAACTTTGCGCCGAAAGGTAGAATTATGATATATATATTTAATTGTTATTCCTAACAAAGTATTAACGAACTATAATGAAATATCTGTCAACTTTATTTCAAAAACTATAGGTCAAAAAAAAAAAGAATATCAATAGACTTAGTATAAATTTCTCTAGTACATTTTGCCTTTTAACTGAAACTTTCTTCTGACAATATAAAGCAATAGATAGATAGATAGAGAGAGAGAGAGAAATAATGATAGCAGAAGTTTCGTAGTAACACCAGAAGACACATATGCAACTATCCAAAATGAAAGGCATACCGCCGCTGGCTTTACAAACCTCGGAAACACTGACACAAAGAATCAGAACTTTATACGTCTTTCGAAAGTCGCTATGAGCTATCCATATCAACACACGGAGAAAGAAGACTAAGGTTGTCTGGCAAAACCACGAGGGGTTTCGACAGGCATCGAAATCGAAACCCGTTGAAACGTTTTGCCAAATATTTTTATTAAGGACAAAATTGCTAAAGTTTCGACGGATGGCAAAACACATCGAAACCTTATTAAAATGCTATTTTTGAATTTTTAAATTTATTATTTTTGTTTACAAATCTTATATAACAAAAGTCATTTTCTTTTATAATATCATAAATTTATATTATTATAAATGATAAAAATTAAAACCGTTAATCAAAAGTTTTGCTTTTAAATATAGGTGTGAACTAGTTGATGGTAAAAAGGGAACAAGTTGATTTCATTCGCAGAAATAATTTGAAATGAATAACATATCATGTAGCACAATGAATGAATGGTGACTAACATTGATGTTTGATAGCATTAATATGAAATTTTTTTATGTGCGATGAAAAAATAATTTATTAGTTTATAATAGAGGTTGGAACCGGATTCGATATTCGGATTTAAATCCGGATATAAAAAATAAACCCGGTTCCAACCTCTATCATCATCTTCATAAGGTAATTTTTCAACAAGTTCCTGTGCTTATAAATTTAAAACCTCATTTTATATTCTACATTGTGTTAAAATAAACCAGTTAAACCCATCAAATTTTGTAAAGTTGTTATTGCTTCGAGACAATCGAAATCCGTCAAAACTTTCGAGACCCATCGACCGCAACTATAAAGCGACACAACTATCCCTCAGGAGGTTGAATCCCCTCAGGCTTTATAAGATCTCTGAACACCAGGTTTACAAAATTTACATTGAAATTATACTTACTTATATAAAAAAAAACTAAAATGAACAAGCAGCTGTTAATTAACTAGTGATTGATGTTGGTAATGATTAAAAAGAGGGTTTGTTTTCAAGTGAACACGCAAAAAGTTAATAAATAGGAAGGGTTTATTTTCATTTATTTATAATAATTTGGGAGGGTTGTTATTAAAATCAACGTTATGGATCATATCATGTTGAAAAATCCTCAGACACGTGATTATAATAAAATATTTGCCACACCATATCACACCCCTCAAGTTTCCGTTTTTACTATATATTCAGGAAACAGTTCTTTTGAGTGGCGAATCTTATTATTCACACTTATCTATTTGTCATGGCATGGTTATTTAAGGTTTTAGCATATTATTGGTCAAATGTCACATGTCTGAGGATTTTTGATGGTTATTCGGGGAATTTATCATGTTGTGTTGTCAAGAAAGAAAAAACCGTCAATAAAAAAAGGGCTATGATTGCAAGTGAATATTATTCAAATGTCACTTGATTTCTCTCATTACTTTGGCAGATATGTCATTTCGTTATTGCTATTTTTTTTTCCTACGTTCAATTAAATAAATAAAGTTTTTAAACATTTTGAAAATAAAAAGCATTATAATTTATTTTATCATTCGTAAGATCAATACGAAAAAAGAGAATCTCCTTTCTAGCTTTAAACCGTGCAAAACTTCCCAATTACCCTTTCTAAATTATCAGATCCTATTATCTCAGGTCAAAATATTACCGTTCATATGGTTAGAACTACTACCGTAGTTATTGAAGAAGATACATTAATGAGGATATTTCATGATCCTATAGGAGAAGCTGAATTTGAATTCGATTTTTGTAAATTATTTATAGATAAGGGAGATTTCGACTTGGTTAATAGAATATGAAATGCACAAGTATGTACCACAAAGGTTTTATTTTTTTTACAATATTTAACTGATCATTAACGTTAATAAATACTTTATTATTTTTAATTAGTTTCGAATCCAGACGAACAAGTTGTGTTATGCATCGGGGGAATGAAAATCATTTTTCCAGCCTTGAATGAAAATGATTTTTCGTTGCTTGACATCCTGTTTTATAGTTTATATTTTTTAGTCTGTATTATATATTGGTTCAACAAAAATGATGATCGACAAATAATGCGATGATTCAAAAAAATTAATTAGAACAAAAAATTTTTTCCGATTCAAATTATCACCATTGGTTATTAGTTACCAACTAGATTAGGTTGGTATGCGACGACTTTGTCGCCGCTAGTTATGGTTATTATACTGCTTTAGTTGTAATATTTCCTTTATTAAGTTATCGCCGTGACGAGCCGAAGGAAAGGGCGGAATTGGCCCTAACCTATAAAATCGAAAAGAATATTAATTAACAATAAAATAGACAATATAACATACTTGACTGCGCCTTTGCAATAAGCCAAAGTGGTAAATCTACTGATCTAACTTATAAAATCAAAAATCGAAAAAAAAATAAACAAAAT